TTTGATTGCGGCTTGGCTGAAGTTGCATTTCAGGGGAGTAGGTGGATTAGATGAGATGGTCAACAACTCACCCAGTCAGTGGATGACCCTTAATGACCTTTGAACATCACTTGCCCACTATAATTAGAACAGGTGGAACAAGATATAAAAGCATACAACACACTATCAAACCCTATGTTCCACGGAACCTGAGTGGGTCAGATATGGTGTTGTGAAGCTAGCCGAATTTCTCAAATTCCTTACTGGAACTGGATCTCCCTTGCATCGTGCTGACGGGCCCTAGGGTTTTCCGCCCGGGGAGTGTTTGGACTTGAGAAGATAAGACTCCAGTCGAGCGAGACACCGGGCGCCAAAAAAGGAGCAGAACCAAAGGCCAGATTCCTTTGGAGCTCCACTGATCTAGATCAGCATGGGGGTCAACGGCGTCGTCAAAGGCACCTTCTCCATGCACCATCTCCATAATACCTATAGTCTTTGGGGGATGTCCGGGGGATGTCTATGATTCTACCTTTGCATGTTCAGTGCATGACCTACACACCTCTCCTTGGCATTCTCCTGTTTCAGGGGCCGGGCCCTCTGGGGCCCCTGGGGCCATGGGTCGGGGTGTGGGGGGACTCTGAGGACAGCACAAAAGGCGTACCAGCGAGGCGCGTTGCCGAAGGAGCGGGAAGCCGCTCAGCGGCCAAGGCTCAGATTTGGCAGACCGGATCTGGGTCTGAAGAGAATTTGGGTGGGTTCATTTGACCAATCATTGCAAGGAGGAAAGAAAGACATCCTATAGGTTCAGGATATTCAGGATGTTCGTCTTACCAAGTCATTGCCAGATTTCCAGAGAAAGAGAGGTTACTTCAGTCTTCTTGCTAGTATCAGGCGTCCAGCGTTGGCGAAGCTTCACCGACGCACTGTTCATTGGAACACCGAAAAGCGGACAAACGGGTAATCCAGTCACTCGCCCAGATGGGAAGTGACTTCTAATTAGATGGTGAACTGCAGGTTCTTCATGGCTCTTTGGACAGTTTGAGCAGTTCAACGACATGTACTCGGCGGCAAACCTTAGACGTCGTGAGCGCTTACGTACTCTCAGTAAGCCTCCAAGAAGTTGCAGCAAGCTGCCGGTCACGAGCCCGAAGGCACAATTGGCTCTTGCCAGGTTCCTGGAGAGGAAGAGAACGAATTTGTAAGCTGACAAAAAGAAAACAACTATATATTTATATGTCACCCCATGACTCATTGAGCGATACTGTTGTGGCCACACCAAAAAAAAGAATTGACGATCTCCAGTTCTTGTTTTTTGTTTTTTTTAGTTTTTTTCTGTGGCCAGACAGGAAGCACTACTGAGACTACCTGTTCCAATGGTCGAAACGCTGTTCTTTACAATTCGCCTTTGGTTTACACCGTGCCACTGTGCCATCACTTTGGTTTACACTTTGCCAATCGGCCGGCAAATCCTTGAGAAACCAGAGATGTTTCTTCAGCAATCCTTGGCACTCATCCTATTTGGGAACTTTCGTTCAGGGGGACGGATTTCTTTTGCTACGCTACCAGATTTGATGGAAAGCACGTGTATTTCAAATGTCTCCATGGACCTAAACTTGACTGAAGCTGAAGCCCGGTGAGGAGCAAAAGGACGCCTTGGAGGCCTTGGAGCCCCTCCTGGATGACTTTACCTGGGCTGGTGAGGAGGAGGAGGAGGAGCTGAACGAGGAGAAGGAGGACAAAGTGGAGGAGCGGGAGTTTAGCTTCGGAGGATTGCGTCATGAGTTTGTTGGGTCTGGCTGGCTCGGAGCTTTTGCTGTGCCTGGCCGTTTGATTGGTTTATTGCTAGGTCCATGAGGTTGTTGCTACGCAGAGATTGATTGGAATGTTGGATGACCTTTTGAGTAATTAGTTCGGTGAGTTTTGCTCGGGTTTGTCCAAGAACAAGGACCCCTGCTTCACAAATTAAACGTACTAGTACAAAACACTACTTGAATGTCAGAGAGACACCCTGTCATGGTCCAAGATTTTTTTTTACATATATTCTATTAACCTCTATATATACTATATTTATTGTATTTCCTGAGCATATATTCATGGCCTGGTCGACTGAATGACACTGACAAGAATGAACCCGATCTCGACTTTCTCCGAGAGACCTGTTGAGGGACCCGCCTCCCTGCGGGGTACGCCGAGTACGCCCAAAAGAAGTGTGAGAGTCGCCTCTCGACTCTTTCCCTGTACACGCTGCAAAAAGGGCTAACTGGCCTCTCGAATCACTGGAAGGTCGTCACATGTGGGTCAGATAAGACCATGGACATAGCGTATCGCTGGCGTAAGTTGAAGTTAGTTGGTGCCCTGACTGACTGCACCAGTTGGACCAAGAAAGCCGTTCGACTTGCATAGGACGCCAAAGATGCTGCAGACGGCGGGCCAGATGGGCCAGAGGCAGACGAGGGGAAGGCTAACATGTGCTTTGTTGGTTTGGAATTAATAGTCATCCAGTATTTAATGTAGTATAGTTAGAACCTTAGCTTTAGGTAGCATTGACTGTTTCCGAGATATTTTGTTGTTTCGCAAGAAAAACATATGTTCCTTCACTTCAACTCTCCTTCAGAGTCAGTCGAGCAATCAGGGTCATGGTTCAGTGGGCACAGAATCAGGAGTCCAAATCAAAAGTCGGAACATGCACGTTTGAAACACTGAAGACAGACCGCTCAAAGCGCAGTGCAGTTGTTCATTTACCCAACCCATCCAACCCACCCAAGCCACCAAGTGCTACGTCAGGACGAGGCCGCGCGCTGGACGCAGCACGTTCTTCAACGCTTAGAACGACAGCTACTCAAAGCCGATGCCGCCGAGCGACGAAAGCTCCTGCGGGGCTGGCAGTTGAGCTACCATCCCGACAGGACAGGAGGTCCAGGGCCTGGGATGGGGGAGAGAGAGAGAGAGAGAGAGCGCTACAGGATGACAAAAAAGACAAGAACAAATAACTGTATGGGTCGAGTTTTGGGCCGTCCTGGGTATACCTAATATATTTACAGCAATAGATCCTATAATAGTGCATTTATTACTTGCTGCCCGTGCCTGCCCATCTACCTGACCTATTTGGCAAGCTACGTGCTATACACTATCCTGCAGACAATGAAGGCAGATTGCATTTGCCTCATGCACTCTCACAGGAACATGAACTCCAAGTTTGATTGGGTTTTGGGCTTCAGTTAGAGTTTTTTGACTGCAATGGAAGTACGTACAGCCACATTGAATCACAACCATGAAAGATCACGAAAAAAAACGACTTTTGGGTCGGTCCAGAACTCTAGATCGCACCCCGAAAAAGCCACGTTCAGGAGTTCATGGCTCAGTTCGTTTAAAAAAACCCTCTGATTGGGGACTGCTTGGCCCTCTTCTCGGGCTTGCGCACCCAGCCCGGATGTTCCGGAACACCAACATGCCTTGCCCTGGCACGGGTACCGGACTGGCACGGGCGGTGTGCCACTCTCCGCGGTGCGGTGCGGTGCGCGGAACCGTTGGAGGCCGTCGTTTGGTTACCCTCAATTGGGCCGTAGGATGCCGTAGATGAAAGAACCAGACCAGAGAAGGGTACTAGATAAGGAATTACAACTGATACTGAAGCTTTGAAGGGAAGACACTGTTCCCTTTGGGAGGGATCTATGATTCTATTGAATAGCATGTAAAACCAGCTCATGCAAGTGAAGCGGTGTACCCGCATGCGACTGCGGGATGGGACCCGCCCTTTTTCGAGCTTGGCTGCGAACGAGGAACCCGGGCCGAGCTGATGAAGTGAAGCCACTCTTCCAATTCGTCCAGGTGCGCGTGTTCAAGCGGACCGATCGTATGGTTGGGTAGAGGAAGGATAAAAATACGGGGTGGCATGGGAGAATTGGTCCTACGTGGCATCATAGCGGTGGGTACCGGGGACCCGGGTTGACCACAAATGAACAGATTTCCAGCCAGGCCAACCTATACTGTACTGTACCAGGATTTGGGGCTCTGGGTTTTGACCCACAGCCACCTGGTACCCCTGAAGAGTGATAATTATCACTCCGTTTTGTAATTATCAATCTTTTGGACACTGGTGTGACAAAAAGCACTCCGGAGTGAGAATAGTTGCTCCAGAATGGTTTTTGTTGCTCTGCAACGTATCTTGAACGCAAAGCGAACGTTGATTGAACGCAAAGTGAACGCACTGCGAACGCAATCTGAATGCGGTTGGACTGATTTTTTCCACTCCGGAGTGCTTTTTGTCACACCACTATCCAAAAGATTGACAATTACACAACGGAGTGATAATTATCACTCTTCAGGGGTACCAGCTGGTATACATGTATATATAACAGGGAGATCATGGGAGATGTGGATCCCAGACTTTTCCAATAATACTATCTCCGCAAGAGACCCCAAACAGTGTGTCTAGAGGTCTAAGGTCCAGAGGTGTAGAAACAGAAGGTCTAGAGAGGCTACCCCTGCGCCTGCCACGAAAAGTCACCACCAAGTCCGAAAATGTGCACGGCACCACAACGAGAGCACAGTCGAAGAATGCACCCGCTCGAGACGTGCGAGCCTCCGCAGTCGACATGCACTTCGAAGATTTCGATTTGAATGCTGTAAATAGAATGAGATCTGCTGGGGGAATAAACAGTGACCACGCCACATAGGGTGCATCCTTCCATGGTATGGGCTGCTTTGCGCTTTGTGAGACTTCAGCTCAACTCCACCCGTCTCTTGCTTCGCTCTGCATCACGGCCATCTCAGGCGCGGTGGGACCGTGAGTTCAAGAAGGCTTGCAGCGCCGCCGACGAGATGCCAGCGGCGGCTGAGGCCGCGTCTTCCGCCCCGAAGCGGCGCGTCCGCGGGAAGACGGCGGCAGAACAAAGGTGCGGAACGTGCGTTGCTGGGTGGGCGGTGGGTTGGAGACTCGAGTGAGTGACAGTGGAAAGACGTTCGGAGCTGGTATGCACGGTGCATAGAAACAAGCGTGACAAGCTGGTTGCGAGACTGAGGTCCTGCTACACGGGGAGTCGCTCCTATGCGCTTCACATTGCCAGGGGCTCACGGGACGTGCAGATTGTGGTGTGTGGAGACGTTTGGTTGTAGTTGTGCATGTGACATGTGAGTTGAAGAACATGAAATCGTTTGATGTAGCATGCACAGTCGCTTCGTGTCGTTTGTCCTTGTTGTTTGTGTTGGTCAACTTGATTAGAGACGGTTTACCGGAGGGTACTTGAACCTGGCCATACCGGCCATACCCCTTTGGGTCCGAAGCTGCGATGGCCGTAGTTTTCGGAAAGTTTTGGTTGGATTCAGATAGATTCAGCAAGATGTGCTGGTCAAGACCCAGCTGCATTCTAGATGCAACGAACATGAGAGTGGTGGACTCAATAGAGTGTTTTTTACAACTATAGTGGTCTTACAACTATATAGTGGTCGGTCATATGTTGGGTCTTCACAACCAATGCAGTGCAGCTTCTAAACCGAGAAGAAACCACTTGATTACGCAAACCAGCCGATGGCTAGGCTGAAATTAGTTTTTGCGAGCAAGGTGAATAGGGGGGGGGGGCAGACGCGACTGTGACGGAAATCCAAACACCTGCTGCTGGTGTTTTGACTTATCAGGCGGATGCAATTGTTGGTTGAATTTGTGATGCAGAAATGCAAGACGAACCTATTTCATCATCAAGTTGGGCTCATCCAAAAGGCAGCGGTACTTAGTACTTGGTGTTATAGTTCAAAACCTTCGACGACCAAGGGGGTTCATCTTTCGGGCATATGCCCCTGGAGACTATCAGTCCTTATGCTCCAAAGGCGGAAGCAGTCCTTCGACCAGTCGGGGTTCCCTCGCAAACGTGGCGAAATCGATTCCCCTTTGGAACAGGTTCGGTGGTTTTCCCTGCTCAACCAGCTAGTCTGCTGGTTTCTCATTCCCGGACTGGGCAACTCTGTATATATCATATGTGTTTCGAGTACTTGCGAGGGAGTGCCACTCCAACCACCCGACTTCGACCGATTCGGCCCAACTGCAAGCGGCCCAACCGAGAAGCTCCTTGGGTTCCAGGACGGCCCTTGTCACCGAAGAGTCGCCCCTCCTCCGTCGGGCGCCAAGGACAATCCTCACAAGTGTGGCGGTGCCATGGAACTGCCGGACAATGGCCTCCGTGTGACGTGCCGCCCCCAGCACATGGGGTGAAGCGAGGGGATGAAGATGGGGATGAAGAGGAGGGAGATGCGGAAGAGAGGCACCGTTTTTGTTGAGGGGTAGTTGGGACTTAGAAAAGATTAAGAGTCCGAATCTGATGGTTCGAATGGGTTTCGACATGAATCATGGGATGCAGCGATGCAAGCCAAAAAGTGTTCAAAACACCTTTGATGTACTGGTGTAAAAAAAATGAATGTTTCCATGTCAAAATAATGATATTCATTATGTGTCAAACTATGCATCAAAATACAAGATTCAGGCCTGCTGTAGTAGGGTGGAAATGAGCAAGGGCCGCATTAAAGAAAACAAGACAATCATCATTTGGCATCAAACATTGAGCAATGAAAAACATAACTGGAATTGCGGCAAAGACAGACCATTGACAATCCAACCTTGACTTCATCCCTTCTTGGCTCCTTTGGACAAGTTTGTCGCTTCTTAGTATTTCATACTAAGACCTGTGGCTGGACTCCCTTTGGCCACAGTGCTATGCCGTGGTTCCCTATTCAACATGTTACAGCGAAGCAGATTGAATGAAGGTGGACAGGACATGTGAACACATTTAAAAAAATAAAAACTTGAACACAGTTTCGGCCCACATCAGTTGACCTGAGAGCCAAGGAACGGATGGAACAATGATTGCTGCCATTCCGAATACTTAGACTTGTTACACCAGAAAAACCGAACGCTTTGGTAACCGATGTTTTTTGTTGGCTTGTGGTGTTCTAAGTTGTACATTGCAATGCACAGGCACCAATTAATTTGGTCACCGTTTGATGCCATCATTGCGGGGTTCACACTTTCAACCGGCCAACGTGTTCGCTTGGGTCAGGTGTCAAGGCTGATTTCTAGCCACCTTCAGCTCGTGGGTTCTATAATATGGTTCTATGAAAGACCGCTGTTGCTTGTTTGCTGCTTGTCCCAAGATGTCGGTGCAGTTTCGCGCGCAGGCTGGTGTACTACATCAACCCACACTGGGATCCGGACAGCGGATACAATGGCGGTGGGCTCGATGTCTCAATCTCAGACCGTCGATCGGAGGAGGTCACCGGTCTCGGTCACCGAGGTCTCGGTGCGGGATCCGAAGAAGATTCCGAGGTTGAGAGATTCCAGAACGTTCGGACCCTGGGATGTGGTATATATAGGATGGTCGCCCTGAGGCTCAACCATCTGGTAAAACCATCACCCAGGCAGCTCCGCCAGCTGCATTTGCGCCTCCTTGCACCCCGAAGCCGCTGCTTGGTCGGCTCAGTCCGGCACCGAGGTCTTTCTCACGGATCCGCGGGATGCCCCGCCCTCGGCCTCCACGGCCAGGCGACGGAGTCGGAAGGATGGAGTCGGAAGATGACCCACAGAGTCAGAAGGATGGGGAAGAAGAGGAGTGTTAACCAGGATCCTTTCAATTTTAGACGTTTGGAATCGTTTTGATGTGTTCAATCGGTTACATACCTTTGAGGAGGAAGATGAAACATGGTGAAACTAGAGTGTTTCATTTTGTTGTTTTCTGGCTTGGAAAGAAGCGCGTGCAACATCATGCAACACTAAGAAGGGAGTTGTTGGCAGGCCTTTTCCCTATACCCTGTATACTGAGTCTGTGGGTGTTTGGTCATGCCATGTCAAGCTTTTAACATTTTGAGAGGGAACAGAGTTTGGGCTTCATTGTATTCTTTGGTATTATAGTTGTGATGATGCTGTTTGTAATGGATCAGCGTATAGGATGAGTTTCTTGGAATTTTGCCACGCTGGCCTCCCTTTCTAAAGCTGACCCTTGAAGACACACGGTCCTTCCCTCCGTAACGGGCGCCCTCAACCCCACGAACCTTTGGACGCGGACTGCGGTCGCCGCGGATAGGAAGGCTCCCAAGTTTCGGATCGCCCCGCACGCGAGGGAGCTCAGAGCGGCTTTGGGCAGAGACTGCGGCCACTCCCAAGAAGTACTTATTATAATCTTATATACATATATAACAACACCAAGATATGGCTTTCCTTTCGACATTCCAACCTGATGTTCCTACATGGTTCGTTCTGCACAGTGTGGGGCTTGCCTACATCAAAATACTGGTGGTGTCCTGATTCTCACTGGTATAAGACATGGATGTATTTGATCAGCCCAGCTTCTTACACCAACTGTGGAGTGTCATCCCTCAAATGAAGAACACCAGCAGTTCCATGTGCGGAGTGCCGGCCGGGTCAAGGGTGCCCTGGGTGCCCTTGCGAACATCCACTCGTCCTGGATGGAACCGTTAACAACAACAATAACAACAACAAGAAGAACAACAACAAGAAGAACAACAACAAGAAGAACAACAACAAGAACAAGAACAAGAACAAGAACAGCAACGAGCACGGATATACAGATATAATATATCTCGATCTAAGCCCGGAGACTCCGGTCCGTTGTCCCGGGCACCGGTGAGTCCGAGCCCGGAACCGGTACCCCGAGATGGGGACGGCACCCAGAAGGTGAGACTGAACATGGTGACATGATCTGACAGGAATGCAATTGAACCAAGAACGACTTCAACGTTTTTTTCAGGTGTGATCCTTCCTTCCTTCCTTCCTTCTTTCCTTCCTTCCAGGTTTTAGAACAAGGTCTCCCTGTTCTGTACTACACTCATTTGGATCATGTTTAAGCTAGTGAAATCCTCCTCCCACGACATCCTCATCCTGTTTCTCCGCGAAACAAGTAGTTCCAGTCAAACATCGAGGCCGATACCTTGGCGATCTTCTTGTCGGAGCGGATGGCCCATCAGGTGCGAGAGTCTTCTCCTTCACTTGGCTTGGACTTTAGGGCTGAGGGGCTGAAGGTGATGGATTGCCTATCCAAGGAAAGGTGGAGATCCTGTTAAACACCTTTAGAACCTTTTTTGGGGGGATTGGGGATTGAGGACACCCCACGAAATTCGACCTATAATATAAGTGGAGCCCGATGACCCTGTATGGTCAGACTTGGTGGTGGGATTCCGTCGTTCCGGTCTCGGGGCCAACTCACCGACCTGCAAACCTGAGTAGAAGCCAAGCTGACGTTCTCCAATCAAACTGAGTGGTGAAACCGGTCTTTTTGGTTTCGAAGAACGTGTTCGCTCTTCGGCCGTGTGAGCTCTTCCACGCGGCGTTTGAGTGAAGACAGTGACCTCTTCACCGCAATCACACCCGACGGACGACTCAGCAGCGTTCGCACGTGGCGTGGGGCGCCCGCAGCGGGCGATCTGGAAGACGATCCCATGGACCCTGAAAACCACTGGTTGGTAGAGGGAAAACCACGCTTCCAGGGGGGGCCATTGGACCCCGGGTCTATGTTTGTTTTCGGGAGTGTAGTTTCTCCGATGATTTCACTGGACCTCGTCATCAGTCAAAGTTGGTGTCCCACGTCCGCACAGAAGGTCGAGGTAGTTGATGGTCGTTGGACGCCCCGGCCGGCTGCCACCCCACGCGTCTTCTTTTTTGGATGGAGCAGGAAGAAGTCTACCGCATGATCCTCAACATTCAATGCACTCCCTGAAATCATCATGGAAGTGGAGAACTTATAAGTCCCTTAAAAGAACACACAAAAACACACCATATCCACGTCACCGGCTGCGGATGTTTTCCCGGCTGTGACCGGTGACCCGGACCGTGTCCTCGCTCAGATGAGCTTTGAACGTCGTTGAACGCCGACTCAGGTGGTGGAGACCATGGGCAAGGCTGGGATGTGGTGATGATCTGTGCATTTTAAGAGGTCTCGACCTCCCCGGCGTTCCGACCCCGTGGAAGGTTCGGAACATCGAAACCGAAACCCATTGGATTGGTTGGGTGTCTCCCTATTATAATACACACTCGTGTGATGATCGTTTATGATCGTTTATTTAGGATCCACAGGGATCCCCAAAAACATCCCTGACCTGAACATGTTCCTGAGGACTGGAACGGGAAATACATCCAAATACTGGTCAATGTCCCTAAGAAGGTATGTTACATAAGTGGAGGATGGGGGTTATGCAGGTTCTGGTGATCAACATGAAGCCCCACGCTCAGGTAGAAGTTTGTTTCTTCTTTGCTAGAGAAAACATGGGTGCCACCTTTTGCCCTTTTAGCCAAATCTAAGACACCAGGAAGCAGGCTCTGCAACTTCTAGTGAAAGGAAACATAGGCTAAGACATTTATTAAAAGGTACCAGTGGGTTTCTGGGTCAAGCCTTTTTTGAGCCACATCCACTTCAGGAGAGAATGTATTGCCTCACCATGTGGTGCTTTGATCAGTTCGCGCTCAGCAATTTTGTGCCGCAGGCGGGGAAACCCGATCGACCAATACTGTTGTAAAGATGAGAGGACACATTTCTCAGACGTTCTAGACCAAAAGGGGTCACTCAGACGTTCGGTCAATCTTTTAGATCGTTGGGGACATTGGTCTTTGCCTTGGGGACATTGCAAGGCGTTCTAATGTAACCCCACGGGGAGAGAACAATGCCATGAGACATCCAATGCGAGACCTGGATGTCGCTGGGCCCATGGCAGTGGCAGTGGTTTTGCTGTACGACACACACACAAATGAGAACGCCTCAACGCAATGGCTAGAAGAGAGAGAGAGAGAGAGATTGGTGAGTACATGTGAGTACACCTACGAAGCTAGAAACCTTAGACTGCTTTTGGACTGAGTTGTTTTCGTACTGCGAAACCGCTACGTCCTGTTCAGGTCTCCCAGAAGCAGCGTGACTTGCAAGCGGGGTCAGATGACGACTACTGATTGACGACTTGTCAAGAGGTTCATGAAGACAATGTTCTATGTTATGTTTTGAAGATTGCCTGATTGTTCCCAAGTTGGTGTCCCGTATATGCTTGGGCTCATAGTGAGAGAGTATCAAACAAACCCCATGTAAGAGTGGGGTATACCGGGGTTGTGTAACACAACCTCATATGACTCAGACGTCGTCGACGCATTTCAGACCTTTTGGTGTCCGTTTTGGGGTCGTAGCTGGGGTCCGTTGGGGGGTGGACCTGCAAAACCGATTCAGCTCCAACAGATGTGGTGTTCCACTGGTTTTGTGGACCGTTGGATGACTGAACGGAAAAGGCCGAGTTGTGTCGTTCTTCTTCGCAATTTTGCAGAGTTGTCATGCTGAAGCCTGCGCGCTGGTAGGAGCGAGGACTTTTAAATCGGTCCATGGTCGACTCTGCTGACGGAAAATGTGGACCAAGCACTGTTTGGCTCTCCCCTCACAGTGATACAGGTTTGGCTTTGCAGCCACCAACCTGTTCATGCTTTCGAGACCGTGGCCACCTCGGGATGTCAACTCTACGTGAACCCAAAGATGTTGCTTGCTTCGGCTTGCTGGGACCAGGTGCTTCGGCTTGGTGACCAGGTGGGACACACCAGACTCCAACCCCGCGGCGACCGCCAGCGCGGTGGCAGTTTCGGTCCGACCTGGATGGGTAGCGGCTTGTTGGGTGACACCGTCGTGAGTCGTGACGAGCAACATGTGTTAAGAGTGGCAATGGCTGAGAAGATAGGTCAAAAACCGGGCCGGTGTTTGCAATTGTTTGCAGCTCTCCACATTTGATACCGGACCTGCATGTGACGTCGCTTTCTTAAACACTCTTGGCTCGAAGCGCCAAAAAGAACACATCGGTGACGGATGGATGGTGAACAGGAGCACCCCCGCCATAACGGTCGACCCAAACACGCAGCACAGCATCCTAACGCATCGAAGAACGATATACAGCTTCACATGCACCGTCAACACACAGGTCTCAAGCAGCTTCAACCGGCAGAGCCTTAGCTGGCCCTTCAGCAACAAAGCTTGCCGAGTGGGCCGACCAATTGCTGCAGAGCTATAGTGGCCATGGGCAAGGCGCCAAAGACCAATTCGCTCGCGAGCGTACTCTCCCTGGAACTCAAATGGAAGTGGATGGCACCACCTGTTTGTAGTGGATTTCATGGTCTTCCAAGGGGCCAGGCCATCCACGTCCATGTCGGTTCCAGGATCCAAACATCCCAGTCTCAGCCCATCGATGTGTGGCCTCTCAGGCTGCAGCACCTTCCATCATGCGTCGCATGCGTGTCTTGGGGAGTCCGAAGGGGCTGAGCACGAACGGGTGTAGATGAGCGAACCTCCCACCCGGACGAACGACCCAAAAAGCCATCAAGTCCAGAGCTTGCGCCCATCGGGTGCAGAGGGTCTCTCTATCTCTATTGGTCATGGCCAAATCCGCTCGAATCCTCACCATTCGCAGATCCGGCAGGTCGTGTCTATGCTGCAAGAGACCTGTTGCCCATCGGTGTCCCACGAAAAGGAGGCGCGTCCGCGTCCGACCGTGGGCGGGGAGAGGAGGAAGGATGTGAAACTGAGCGACTGCGCTTCTGGACCATCTGAGCAACTGCATTGCCTTACTATATAGTAGTAGCATAGGTATAGTAGCATGTAACAAGCTAAGAAGCTATGTTCGTAACAA